CTAAGCGATAAAAGTTTCCGGATCGCGGATTTATTATTTAAAGGGTCTCTTTTCTTACTAATAAAAGATGAATTGTGATCAATTGGGGTCACTTGGCGAAAAGCAATTAATTGCGCGACGGATCTTTCGGGATTGATTTGCGTGTTAAATTCAAATCCGCGCGTTTCGCGTTACAGCGTGACCGAAAGGATCCGGACCGTATTATCGATATTAGATCACACGGCGAATTTAACAGGGATATGATGAAATGGCCGATCGCGATTATATCACTCCGGTGAAAAGCGTAAGCTGCTTGGGCATATCGATTGCAATCAATCCAATGTTGCGTTTGCGCACGATTTAGATACTGACGGAAATAATCGCGGATTCCGGACAATATGCGCCGCCGCGCGACGAGACTTAACGTTCATCAGCCAGCCGCTGGTGGTCTCGGAACAGTTGGCGACCGCGCGGATATAAAAATAAACGCGATACACGAGACATCGCGTTTTCCTTCTCGTATTTTGGCTACTCTAAATATAATAATCATCGAATGCCCGCACGACAGATGGTATACGAAACTGTATACCTCGAATCTGTCTAATTTAACCGTTGAACATCGGAGATACTCCAATGCATATTGTTTATTAAATAATCATAAACAAGAAAGTTTATAAAAAGAGACAAAGAAAGAGAGAGAGAGAGAGAAATCATTTTGCCTTCAATCATTTCAGCTTATCATCCATGTTATCCTATCCTGTTATCTTGTCTCGAGTTGTAAGGTAAGGTGAAGTCCAAGACATTTTTTGAAAAAGAAGTTATTCTTCCAGTTTTTATTTCTTTTGGTCTCAATTTGACTATATAACATCAAAGTTTAATTAATGTTGGTTATTGAAAAGGTAATAAATCTCTCAATTAGAATTATTTCGTTCTTAATAAACATTTTTTTAGCATCTCCGTCTTACCTCGAATTCTTCTATAAAAAAAAAAATAAATTATCAATGATTCTTGCTGTTTCAATCAATTTCATTCACATATTAAAATAATGAGAAACATATATGTAGAGTATCATCCCAAAGCGTAAGAAATATGATAATTTAAAAAATTTTTCCAAAAATCAATCTTCAAAGAAGAACAATATTTTTAATATGGCAAGAAACTGTTCTTTGAACTTCGATACACCGTGACGTACGTATTCACATTGATACGTCTTCGAAGGAGATCGTAGGGGAGCATCCTTGGAGCTTATCATTGCGGACACACGCATGGCGTAATTATACCATTGGTATTAAACGGAGTCCAATAGCGGCTCGGCGGTATTTAATTACACAGTAAAAAAAAAACAGATATTGCAGGAACGTTCTCACGTGTGCCTGTCGCAAGGTTAATCGATAGCAGGTATTCTTAGTAATACGGTGCGGTGTATCGTCGAGCGACGAATAAAATTTTATCGTTCGCCGTGTTTGAGCCCACGCGCTTCTATAATCGACGTAATGTAAAAACGGCTTCGCTTTCGCGACGATAATCAGTAGAGTCGAGTTCGTCGATGCACGATACAAGTGTCCGTCTGAATGTTGTACGCTGCCTTTATATTTAACAATGCTGAAACTTTTTCTCGGAGTCGATCTCGCGAATGATTCACCCCGACTCATGATATCCTTTCACTATTGCCGATAAAATCCTGCCATTGCGTTCGATCGTCGTGGATTAAACCAAGAAGGAACTTTGATCTCCCGCAAGTGCCAGAACAGCGAAAATTCCTAATTCGACAGCTCGTCTTGATTGGCGAGTTAAACACAACAGGAACGAGTTCAAGTTTTCTGTTTGAGTTAATATTCAGACGGTTAATCTTTAGAGTTAACACTTTTAGTATCAACAATCCCGAAGTGAAATTTTGAGATTCGCAAACTCAACGTTTATTTATTTCTCTGATAACAGACGAGTGGCTCGTAATTGAGTTATTCATTGAGTTATTTATTGTCATTTTATTGATCATAAGTCACAAACGTCTGTGATATATCCTAAGTAGATTATAAAACATTGAACTTTTTTTATATTCGAGGGCATCTGTCATATAATTTATCTGATAATTTATTTATGTTTCTTAATATGCTATTTTGTAGGTTTCCGTGATGATCGGCGATTCTGTCGATTTTTACATTATATAGACGCGTAATAACGAGGGAAGAGGTCAATAACGCGCTTTAAACGGCGATCGATTGAAGAATTAATAACGGCAAAAAGTTAATCTCGACGGAGAACAGAGACGAGATTCGCGTTGACCGTTTTCGATAATAAAATCAGCCGGTTAATAAAGTTAACCGGTCTTCTCGGTGCTTCGTTATCATTAACTCGCTGCCATCCTTTTTTCCGTTAAGTGACGTTACGACCGATACTCGCGTAACGCGAGCTTCCCGAGACGCAATACATTGTCTTATCGTCCGGAACTGCGTCGCGAACGCGTCGCGGTTTTAAACTCGAAGTATTCGCAAAGCACGACGATTGTGTGTTGTGCAAATGGTACGTCGCGTTAAAACGACCGTCACTCTGCTGAGACCTTCGAGTCGCACACAAGAGAATGTAAAAACATATAGCTATTGATTACTATAGAAAACGAAATAGTTATTTTTTCAGGATCGTGCTATAATATGATACACTTAATTCAGTGTAACTCAATATAGAATATGCAAAGACGAACATACATGAGAATAAAAACGCCAGAATAGAAAGCAGCTTGAAAAAATTAGGAACGCGCCGGGTCGACTGCGATAGTCTATTGTAATATTTCATGACACGAAGAAAATAGCATCGCAATTTTGAGAAGACGTTCGCAAATCACTCCGCTTAAATGGGTCTCGCAATTATTCGACCGTGACGTCTACTCGCCGGCGTCTAATTAGATAAGAAACCACGGCTGTTAGGAGGAGAGATAAAAATGCAATGAATCGTGTGAAAGTTTCGAGGATATTAAGGCCACTCGCGCGAGGCGCACTTTAACTTTTCCCCGAGATCTTATATCCTCGCGTAAGGCGCGCACTCTCGCACCGACCGATCGGTACTCCCGAAATAGGACGAAAAGAACATCGGGAGAGAGAGAGATAAACGAGAAGAGAAACTTAAAACTATTACTCGCGCGATGAGCGGTGAGTTTTACGACTGGCGCGACGGTTCGCCCGAGGCGAACCAATTAGCATAATTTGCCCAAAGAGAGCAATAAGAACCGGCCGAGTGATCAATGAGCCGCGTACGCGCGGCAGTTCTGCTAATAAGCCGCGTGTTTTCCCTAACATACAGCACGGTAGCGTGTATAAGCGGGATAATAGGATAGTAATCCGATGCTAGAGCGCCAAATACACACAGGGTGTGGCGCAAGTCTTTGTAGAGGAGGACGTAAAAAAGGTGGTCTATCGGTGGAGAGAAAGAGGGAGAAAGAAAATAAGGAAGGAACTTGCGCTTAAAAAGCGCACACAGCTGCAACTTACTCGTTGTCGCGCGTAACGCGAGATCGCCAGTACCCGCTGCCGTTTGTTTGTTCAAGTTCACTCCGATATGGGTTTACGTTAAAATGCGAATAAAAGAACGCTTAACAATCTTGAGACGCGCGATACATCAAGAAAGACGCGAAGTGACAGGTACGAATATTACAACAGCAGCAGCGGCGGCGGCAGTCGGCAACGGTTCCCCCTTATGTCTCGTGAGTACGTAAGGGCGAAACGCACGGTATTCCGCGCGGGCATTACGCTCGGGGTGTACGTGTGTTTTCAGTGTAACACCGTGGAAAACGTGCGCTATGGAGCCTGTGCATACATCTCTGTTTACTCGTCTAACGGAGTTATATAGGCCCGATGCTAGACGGAAAAAGGAAATGACGCAGTCGCGCAAACTGTAACAGCTAAAGTATCGCGGTACTGCCGCGTTAAACTGCCGCGGTATTGCATTACAACGAGTCACTGTCCGCCGGAGTTTATTGCCGCGCTGATGTATTCCTCTCGTCACGGCTTACGATATTTTTATTTCAGCGACGCATCAAAAACGCAAACTGTTATATATCGAGACTTTCGTCACGAAGGAAATGATTTTTCAAACAGAGAGAACACGCGCTGGTAATAATATTTCTCTGGAAATATCGTGGCATAAAATGTGCGATAGCTGTACGTCGTTTCTCTGTCCGCGATACCGCGGAGTCACATTGAATATTGTTTCAGATATCCAATTCGACAGTAATGAGAGAAGGGAATGTCGTTCTGACTGAGAGACCGTTCCGACATAAAAATATCCCCGCTTGTCACGTTGCCGAAAAAAGCTTCGCGTTTATCGGAAAACTTCGTACGACGAAAAGCTATCTGGCTGCGATTTACACGGATAACACATCTGTATTTTAAACTATTCCGTTTCCACTATGTGTGTACCATATGTTACGGAAATAAAGTATCGATTCGTCGGGACGCGTCTAACTCACGACTTCTCGGTCGTAGATATCGTCGTAAGGAAGGATGTCGACAATCGCGTTATTACGCTGTTCTGAATAATCATAAACTCTCTCGTTGTGTAGTTCTAATCTACGTTAAAACGTTATAATATCAGCTGTGTAATAATGTGATCGCGCACATTTGCATTCGTGCAATCCCATGTGGACAAGATTCGCTGAATAAATGTGTACTTTCCGAGGTTTCCAACCAGCGGAGAAGCGGATATTCATAATCATCAATTATATAATGTATAGAGATTAATTAATATGTAATAAAATCAGTTCCAATATCCCTGGATAATAACCGCGAATTCAGCTGTTGACCATTCCCCCGCCTGTTCGACAAATTTTAGCGTAAATGACGCCTTTGCCATCGTAAACCGGTAAAAAAAAAACGGCTGATCGATTTCTCGCGGATGTGGGTCGCTCGGTAAGCGTGGATCCTTTCTCTGCACTCTACTGTTACGAAATTCGAAGCCCATCGCGCGGAAGAAAAGCGCCGGAAAGCGCGTTTGCTCGATAAATTCTTCCGGCGATCGGGAAATGCACTCACCACCGATGTCGTGCGACGATCCAAGGTGTCCATCTAAACCGATCCGTTTGCCGCGACGCGACGCGATATCATGGAGCATCACCCCTTCTTGCGAGGGTGGTCGCAGGAGCGCTGATAACACGGGGGTGCAGCGCGGTCACTCTCACGCACACCTGTCCAAGTCCCGTAGTCACTCCGTCGCACCACTTCGCTACGAATCGCTCGCACCTGCTCGCGTACGAACGGTGCCCTTCGTGTCGGAGCACGGAAACGCGATCACGGCCGAGGAGGACACCCGCGGCGCGAATCCGGCCGGCGGTTCGAATCGCGCGAGTGCCGCGACATCCTCGCGTACGCGCGTGCGTGCAGTCACGGCGATGATGAGAGGAAGAAAGAGAGAAAGAAAGAGAGAGAGAGAAAGAAAGATAAAGCTAGAAAATGAGAGAGAGAAAGAGAGAGAGAGAGAGAGAGAAAGAGTGAGGGAAGGAGAATTCGGAGACAGTGCGTGGGTGGACGATTTAAAGACACACGACGCCCGACAACGACGGCTCGAAGTCGTCACGACGACTGGCGGAACTAACGGCAGAGAGCGACACGACAGCCCCCGGCCCGGGTTCGACGCATGCGTCCTCGCTACCCCGTGCCCAACCCTGTTTCCCCAGAGTACACCCTCGCGCGAGGTAGCTGCCTTTTACCCTCTATCTCGTGCCGTTACTGACTGTCGTCGACCGGTTGTTTCTTGAGGGTTTCCTCGACGATTCCGCAGCTCACGAGGGTGAAAGAGAGACAGAGAGACAAAGACAGACAGATAGATAGAGTGATAGAAAGACAGAGAGGGAGAGAGGAAGGTTGGAAGCAGTGCGTCGAGAGACTTCGAGGACCACCTTGTCTACCTGTTTGCTTAGAAAGCTGCCAGCCACCGGACTGTAACTCGGTTTTTCCTGCTCGTCCTCATTGTCACGATGTATTTTTCCAAGGGTTTCGGGGACACGCGTCACTCGTGTGTGTAGTTAAATGTGCGTCACTGATCGCTAGGGGAGGTTCGCGAGTAGCCAAATTTAGTGTATCTACCCCTATCTCGTTTGCCCCGCATGCAACCCGCTGAACGTAACCGTGGTTTTTCCCTTTTTTATTTTGGCTAACAAATTTTATATTGCTGTCATCATTTCATATCGTGCCTCTTAGGAGTGAAGGGGATGATCGTAAGATACGTTATTGCCGCATTTTTAATTCTCCGTTAGTCGTAATATCCAATAAATATCATCCTAATATTTGTCAATTTATTCTTCACTGTTTTTTACTGTACTGTTTAATGCCCGGTTTAATGTCTGTTAGCCAAGTGCTAATGAAAGAAAAATTGTTTCAGGAAGCAGAGGAAAATAATGGGAAAATTAATGTATCTGTGAGATACATTGCGACCGTTCGTGAGTGAAAAATATTGCGACTAACGGAGGGTTAACTTTAAAATTACAGAGTAATTATAATAGGCGAGAGAAAGAAAGTTGGCTGATCAGTGTTAATTTTCGAATTTCTTCTGCTACCTTTGGTATTGACGGACGCTTCCAGCCTGTCGCAGAGATCAGATGAGAGGCTCGTCGGATGCATAAGCTGTAACTACACCACCGTGGAATTCGATTCCAATCGACTGTGAATCAAAAGATCGCGCGCTTTCGAAATCCAACTTCCATTAACGACGTATTGTAATTTGCGGCCCCGAACGAGCGGACGTTAATTGGCCGCAAAGCAGCGTGGCGATACGAATCGTCAATAATCGACAGTTGCGCGCGAAACGCGAAGTTTTAAATTAAGAATCCACGCGCGATTTTAAAGCTGGTAAAATCGTACTCCCCGAGTCGCGCGAGATAGCTTTCAGATATGACAGGAAGATTCTCACGAGAGCTATTTCCGTCGATCTTTCGAGCTCTTTTCGTGAGATTTGCCGGCTCGTGAAAATGTATCGCGCGCTGCGCACGGTTGCGACATTAATTGCTCAGAAAAAGAAGAACGGACAAGAGCAAAAAGTTTTAATGACTACCGCTCGCGTTATCGTTCCTTCCCCTCTTAGTTCCTCCCTTCCCCTCTCTCGACATTGTTGCTGCAGTGGAAAAAACTTCGCAAGAGCGGCAATAATAAACGCATAAAGCCGCCAGACGCGCGTTTTCGGACAAAATATTAGCCGAAGATTTACGAGGAGCTAATCGAGGCGCGAGTGAGAAAGCGAGAGATCGAGAGAAAGAGAGGAGGCAGCGAAAGAAGAAGCGGGCTGCGCCAAGCGCATTAATCACAAAGGCTTCATATTTTTTAAGCTCAAAGGAAAATGATCGCCGCACACGCCCGCGCACGCGTTTGATGTTTTAATGCGCGGTGAATTCTCGCCGATGGGTTGCCTCAAAGCTTTATGAGATTGGATTAAAATGCGAAATGCAATCGCGAGTTACTCGATATCGGCTACGCGCTACTTAGATGCATTAATTATTTCCTATGTCATTAATTACACGATTTATACACGAAATGACCCAGTTTCGCACGTTCGGTTATGAGCTGCGTATATCCGCGTTGATCCACTTGTCAAAGAGGACAAAGAGACGAAAGAACTGAAAAATAAAAATTTCGACCTATATGACATTGTTATACTTGATGCTTGGGGTGTGATCGTTCATCTGATAGCTAAATCGGGTAAGGTCGACGGGAAAGATTCTGTCTTCCTCAATACGGCAACGCGAAAAGAATACTACTGCCTAACATTCCAGGCCAGCATGCGATTTTTCCTTAACTGAATGCGTGATCACGTCGTTTCACGCACTCGCGTAAGTGGTGAAAATCGAGTTCTCGCAATTTGCGCGACGAAAAGAGGGGGAAGGAGGGAGTATTACTGCAAGAAGAGGGAATACAAAATTAGATGACGTGGCTTTATCTCGCGCCGGAAAGTATGAGCGGTCCACGGCCCTATCTATACGCTATCACGAGAGAGCGAGGTATGACATATATATGCAAAAAGAATATATTATTTCTCTCCGTCGTACGAAATATTCCTTTAAAGGCTCCGACGAAGAATGCCCGATATCGTGGGGAAGTGCAAGAAAAGAAAATGAATACATATGTACAATTCGATTTAAAATTCAATGGGAATGTCAAATGTCTCCCCCGTTATTTACTCGAACATTTCGATAAATACTTCGACGTGAGTAGGCGATACCGAAGGCAGCGGAGAAGCAAGCTTTATTTCAGGATAAAGAGAGAGAAATATTGTTCTTGCTTGAGGAAAAATCACCTCGCAAACTCCACCTCCCGTTTGATACACTCTACATCGTCTCATTACGCGACATTTCAATGAAGAAATACGCAGAGCAATCCGCGAAGATCGTTGAAGAATAGTTTTCATGATAGCATTATTGATAAAATACGCGATTCAGCGCAGCAANGGGGGGGGGGGGGGAGGGGAGGCGAACAATGAGGCACGATTGGACGCACGTATCACGCCGTTCTCGTTAGCTTTTTCGATCGAGAGCGCACATAATAGGCCAGGCCGAAATGTCACAACGATCTAATTACCGAAAACGCTACACGAGTGAATGGATTTTGCAGGGGCGCACGCGTTGGCTGTTCGTCATTTGGCATCACCCTCGGCTGCTCTCCGGGGAACAATAAGGCTCGAAATGTCAGAGCCTCATCGTGCAATACCTTCACGGCGGCTTACAGTAATCGTTGACGAAATGAGAATATATTGGCGGGAGGGACGAATCAAGACGGACGTACGGAAATGTACTCGATATGAAAATAGCTGCGAGCGCCGGAAATAAAGTCTCCCAAGGGACGGATTGTTCTCCTCTCGTAACAACGCATTTTATTTACACGAAAACAGATGTATGTATATATGTATATGTGTATATATATATATATATATATATATATACCATGTTCGAAAAATCGCTCGTTACTTCGGCCTCGCGTGTCGCAACCGGTAGCTGCGGAGCTCCAGCAGGGAATTAATTTAACGACACGAAGGGAATCCCGCAGTTTCGCATTTTGCCCTTTCGTACTTCGTTTGCGACGAACGATATGGTGCAACCTGTAGTAAGACGAGGATCGTTTGCTCGCAAAGGCGAAGGCGCCGTTACTCGACAAATAGAATTTCAGATACGGCCAATGGCACACCGAGATATAATTTGTTTGCGCCACAGGCCTCAGGGTTACGGCCGTTGCGTCGGGAAATCTCTGCGTACTAATTCTCGTTCTAATTGCACGTGTAACATTCCGATGAATGCATGTGCGAAACCGTAAGTACTGGCGACCCGTGAACAATCGATCGCGCGATCGTTACGCAGTACGCGCAAAATTCAGCGAACTCAGGCTCCTGACATAACACATAAAAGTAAAACGAAACGACTGCGATTAAAAGAGACGCGGTAACAGAAGGGCGTGTTTTACTCGAGCAAACACGAGTCTTTCAGTTCGAGTCGCGGGAATCGCACCGTCTGCTCGATCATCTTCGCCGCAGTAAGTAGCCTGTGCTCGTGGAAAGACGGCGCGATTAATTGCAGGGACAAGGGTAGACCTCGGCGGGAGAGCTTGATCGGCACGTTGATCGCGGGCAAACCGGCCATGTTCGCCGGTTGCGTACAGTGGTCCTGAATCAGACACTGCGTCTGATTGTCCAACAACACGAAATCCTCGTAACGAGGCGCATCGGTCAACGTGGTCGGGGTCAACAGGAGGTCCACGTTGTTGTCCCATAGGACGTCGAAATCCTGGGCGATTAATCGGCGCATCTTCATCGCTTTCACGTAATACTCCTTGTAATTCTCGGCCAATAGGAAATAATTTCCGACCAGTATGCGACCTTTGACCACGTCGTTGAAGCCCTCCGATCTGGTCTTCTTGTACAGTTCGTGAGCCGTGCTCCATTCGTCAACTCTGTGGCCGTACTCGATACCGTCGTAGCAGGCTAAATTGCTCGCCACGTCGCATCGATTCAACACCGAGTAACACACGATGGAGTAGTCGGTGTGTGGTAAAGACACCGGCACTATGTTCGCCCCCGCTTCCGTCAGCTGACGGGAGACCTCGTCCCAACACGCCTGCACCTCCTCGCTTATACCGGGCACCCCGTACTCCTTCGGTATACCGATATTGAGATTACTGACGTCTATCGTCTCGGGCAAGGCGATCGGCTGGTACTCCCTCTGCACGGTAGTGGGATCCGAAGGGTCAGGCCCGGCTACAGCGTTCAAGATGAGCGCAGCGTCGTCCACCGTTCTCGCGAGAATACCAGGCACGTCCATCGAATTCAGCAGCGGAATGAGCCCATAACGAGACACCAGACCATAAGTCGGCTTCAGGCCGATCAGACCGCAGTATGACGCAGGATTGCGAGTGGAACCACCGGTGTCCGAGCCCAGGGCTGCGTAGCAGGTACCTGTGGCCACTGCAACTGCGGAACCTCCGCTACTGCCACCTAAGACCCATGCATTTTATTCTGTAGAATCACTGCTAAACCTATCTTCAAGGTGAAATACTCACAAATGTTTAGGGCATATCAAGCTATTATTTGGTCTGCTTTTCTCTATCTGAACTGGGCTGCTCTAGTTCAAGAAATTTACACATACAAATGTGAGAATCTCGTATATACACTTCANACATACGCTTGTTTAAACTTTCGTTCAGAAACGCTCGTCATAAAATCACCCTTATCGTTTTGTCGTAAGAACAACGCGCCGAGCATACGCTGAAAAAAAAGAATGTTACATTCAAGAAATATATATATATATATATATATATATATATATTTAAGAAATATATATATATATATATATTTCTTAAACTAGTACATAAGTAATATATATATATATATATTTCTTAAACTAGTACAGCCAGTTTAGCTAAAAAGAACAGAGACCAACTATGTGTGCAAATTTCTCGAACTAACACAGCCAGTTCAGCTAAAAAGGACAGACCAATTATCTGCTCGCCAGCAATATACCTGCTATGTGCCATGTGCTTTTCTCCTGCGGTTCCCCCGAAGCAGGCTGTGAAACGTCAGACTTGCACGAATAGAATTGTGACAACACTTCCGAGCCCCATAAATTCTTGGTCGGCCCATAAAGCGAGTCTATAGTACCGGAGCCCATGGCGAATTCATCGAGATTAGTCTTGCCGATTAAGACAGCACCCTGCTTCCTGAGCCTCTCAAAGACCGTGGCATCATAGCCGGGGCAGAAGTTGGCTAACATACGAGAGGCGCAAGTCGTAGGTTTACCCTTGACGCAGTAATTGTCTTTGATAGCGACGGGGATGCCGTCGAGTTGCCCCAGCAACGAGTTCCTCTGTTGCCTCCTGTCCGCGTCGCTCGCCTGGTCTCGCGCAACATCGTCCGTTACAGTAATGTAAGCGTTCAAAGGCTTGACGATCGACGTTAACTTAACGGACGCCTCGCAGACCTCGGACGGGCGCACCGTGCCACAGTAGATCCTCTGACTAACCTCCCTGATTGGCGTGGACAACAATTTGTTCATCGTTCGCGCTGTACGCTCCGCGACATACCACGATTGTACATAACCTTTCCGTCGGCGAAGAAGGAACACGTAACCTCCAACAACGAACGCTGAGACCGGAGCACCGTGAGTGACGAAGTAGAGTGCAGTCGAGAGGGGACGAGATTATGTTCGCTTTCTTTCGCTGGTCTTCTTAGACCATTTAAACGCGGAATTAAAATCGTATCAAATCGCGCGGAGAAGGGAAGTGCGGAAAACGTAGCTAAAAGGAACCTGTAAATCTTTTTCACGGCCGCACTCAGCCACACTCGTGTGCACTTTTTACACTCGGAACGAGCGAAGGAGGATTGGCGTGTTTGGAAAGAGACAGAGGTGTCTTCATTCTAGTCACGGCCAGTTGAATGAAAGATGCACATGAACGTTCTCGTTGAATAGCGTACTTGGGACGCCATCTGTGTGCTTCTTTCTGAGTCACAACGACGAGGCGTTGGTAAAGACCGTGGTTTTAGATATTCTCGCAAATATCATGAATTGATGGTCACACGAATTGTATGTTTTAAGGAATCGAATGAGTTTTACTTGAAGAAATCATGATTTCGTTATAAATACTAATGTATATGTGTGTGTCGATTGTATTCAACATGTCGTATGAAAAGAACCTGACATTGATCTCAAATCACAGAATGTGGCAATGCTTTTCGAATTTTGTACGCTAATTTCACATTACGCCCTATAGTCCTATGCAACTTGTTCTTTCTTCTACACCCTAAAGAAATCGGCCATCTCACATTTGATTTACATTCACAAATGGAACGTTCGGCTCAACGTACAAGATGGTCATCCAACATTTTGTCACAGATAATGTTGCAGATTCGGTACTTACCGACTGTCCCTCGCCGGTCGAAAAATGTAGAGCACGCAGAGGTTGAAACCCGGCATCTCGTTCGATGTTCCTTGTGACGACCCGTTCTGCAACTGTCTTGTCGCAATTCGCAGAACATGTTTTTGGCACTTCCGGCGATTCTCGCGCGCGGCATTTCGCTTCGACGCTTCGAAGACTTCGAAGGCACAGAGTAACGATCGGAGTTTCGAGTCGTCATAATCCAACGAACGCGCAATTTTGACTCGGCACTCCCGATGGTTGTTCAACGATACCTCGTCATCGCGAACGCGCGACGAAGCTTACTATTCGGCACTCCTGGCGATAATTCGCGCGCGAGATTCACGTTTGGCGAGTTGAAATCCGGGACGACTTGCCGTACACGAAATCTTGCCGCGCGTCATGATCCATTTGGGAAACGAATGAACACAGCAGCGATTCTAGCTGACGCGCGCACAACTTCACTCGACATTCCCAACGGTTTATCGCGAGACATTCTCGCCCGATGGCTTCTGATATTTCGACACAATAAACAAACGATGCACTTACTCGCGGCAATCCCAGCAACAATTCGCCTTCCAGACGCTGCTTCGGCTGGTCGAAAGCGCGAAGAGCAGCGATGTTTTCGAGCTGACATAACTCCTTCCGAGCGGGCGATACTTTACGTTGAGCTGTTGACCGCAGGATGCTCGATTTCGGCGTCGTTCAGCGATATTTCGTCGCGAGACTCGCTTCCCGGCTCTCCCGACGATGATTCGCGCACGAAACCGATCTTCGGTTCGAGCCGAAACGCGGCAAGTACGGAGCGACTCGCCGGACACGAAAGGACGCGCCCGTTAACCGTCCCGAAACGAACTGAACTCGCAGCGAGTGCTATTCTCGATATATCACGCGTGACAGAAGGCGCACCGCGCGGTTTGAAATCGCGGCCTGCATTCGCGGCGAAAGATTTCCTCATATCGGAAATCATTCTGATACTCGATATAAGAACGAAACGAGAGAGATTTTTAACGGATTAATTCCGCAAAAGTTTATGGGGAGTACTTTAATTCCCGTTCTCAATCTGCCCGAGAAATCAAATATTCGGAGGCAACAAGATCAGCTCTGCTGTCCGACGTAGTCTAACCTGGGACTTGTTACGGTTTTCAAAACGAGACGAGAATTACAAAAGTGAGCGAATTTACTAGAATGTATTTATAATTTTATTAGTCAACATTTATTGAATTTGTTCACTTTTGTAATTCTCACCTCGTTTTGAAAACCGTAATAGACTTTCTAACACTAGTCAAAATATTTTGCTATTTACCCGCTTCTTAAAATAAATATTGAAGGAGACTGCCGTCACGACTTTTTGCACGAGTTGTGTACGAGTTGGGCACGAGTGCGATGTGTTTATCGCGAAGATTTCAGTCAACACTCGACAGTGATCGCTCGCGCATAATAGGTAGATTCTCGACCGAGCAGAGGTGTCGGAGATGAGAACTTGGATCGCTCGGGCAAGATTTCCGGGAGCGAGATGGGAATAAACGGTGTCCGGTGCAAATCAACGACATGTCTCGAACGTTTCGCACGCCCGATAAAAGACAACAACGCAAACGCGCTACCATCAGCCATACGTTCGCCAAGAGCAGTACGCCGAATGAAAATACACCTGTAAAGCATTACAGTATATCTTTGTCCGGGATCGACACGGGCTCTTCGTCAAGCACAGGAAAAACTAAAAAGCGACTGCGCTCGCAGGTACAAGGTGAGAAATAAATTAACATAAATCATTATTGCAATATTCTCGTAAGAGTTTAAATTTTACGCACAATTTGTATATTCTATTGGGGGATAGATTTTTAGAGATATTTCTTTTATCAATAATAACAAATAATGCATGCCATGTTTAATCAAAGTACCATTATTATTCACCATTTTTTCTACTTTTCATGTAACTGTGTAAATTCTCTATAAAATTACTCATCTTTTAAGCCAATGAACTCATCGATGATCCAACAAATTTTGGTAAGCCTCTGATATACAAACGACTTTTTGATTTTAAAGATTAATAATTTGAATATTTTTTTCTTTCATCGATACAACAGAGAAAGGAAAAAGAAAGAAAACAGCCGATAAAAAGAGACGAGTGGTAACTTGGTTGGCGGACAATGACAGCGAATGGGAAACCACATCGGAGGAACTTATCAAAGAGACCCCGGTAAATGCACGAGGATTTATCCCGGAGAGTACTCATGATGAATGTCATGATGATACTCCCGCGTGTTGCAATTTATTCGAGGATCCATGCACACCGGAGAAAGTTCGAGATGCGCCGATGCAGCACGAGCTTCTGCCAGAATCGCCGATTATTCAATCTTCTCGAAGATTGCGTTTTATTTCGGCGAAGAACAACGTTGAACATCGCGAAAAGTTGCTTCCGGTTTCAAATTTGCGACTGTCAGAAACGCGAGACGTTAGTCCAGACGAGACAGACGATGAGCTGATATTCCGTACGTATCTTTTGTGCGAGTAAAAATCTTGTGGAAAATATATTTTGCATGTCACATGGAATATTGGCACTACTTGAAAATTCGCGAATTTAAACTAATATTATAAAAGAAAATGCGCAAGGTTGTATTTTATAAGGGGGAGCAATAACACAGTACTCAATATCCAAAATTGATTTCATTCAGTTCATTTTTTTTACAACGGAGAATAATTACAATTTTTGAATTGTATCACTTTTCCACATGTCATGCGATATGATCCATTTTATCAGGAAGGCTCAATTTTGTCGTCATTCATAATTAAACGACAATATCTCTCATTAGATTCTAGTTCTTTCATTTCTGTATGTGATATGTCTTCTAATGTCGCTCTTGCTTTAATTATCGCTTCTCGAATTAGTTGCCTCTCTTGGTGCTGTTTTTATTAAACGACAACGATCTAGAAAAAATTCTTCCGTAATTACACCAAATCTCCCATCCGTTGTGACGTTTTTCCATTGTTACATTCACGGGAAAACCTAATAAACGAATCGTTCTTTCAGACCACGAGAAAGACGTGAAGACATACTCTGCTCCGCCGAAGCGCAAGAAAAGCCCGGAACGGACATCCAAGAATTTCAGCTTTCCCTTGCGATTTCTGACAGCAACGAGCGATTTGCTCTGGGACGAATTCGTCGACAAATTTCGTGATGAGATATCCCAATATTTAGCGCCATCCTTTGCGCGAGTACCAGTCGAGCTGACGGATTCCGCGTGCCTTCCTAATGTCGACCTCGACAGATTAAGAGTGAAACTGGTCCCTCCAGGTATGAAATTCTACCGTTCGGAAATAGTCACGGACAGCAGCACACTTTGCACGAATTCCGAGCTGGAAGACGGCTACGAACGAGAAAATGCTAAGCGGCGAACCGAGCTCGAAACCGACGGACGCGGAACGAAGACTCGCCGAAGGAAGATGCGGAAACGGAAGAGGAAAGGAGCGATACCAGGAGAGGAGTTGATACCTATACAGAAACGAAAAGCGGATATATACGATCAATTCGACGAGACGGACATCGAATTTGAAACTGGCGGTCCAAATAAAAAACGCATCAGTTTTCGTACATTTTGCTGTAAGCAAAGGAAAAATAATAAAACCAAAGCACTTCCGACATCTTCTCACTCGGATACATAATAAGGCGAAATAAGGCGTTGCTTTCATTTCGTCATTTATTAGCATATTTTTGTTTTGTATATATGCATTATTTATATTTACCAATATGTGCCTGTAATTATTTACTTATTTGCACTTTTGGAACGCTAAGATTGATTCTGAGAAATCAATTGAACGATCTCTCTGTTTAAAATGCAATAAAACTGAGAAAATTTTTCCAGAAACATTAATATTTTTATAGTTCCTATTAAATAAATATTGAAACTTTTACGTAATTTTGAAATTAGGCGGAGATATCTCCATGTGCGCGCTATTCGTACGCTCGATACGTGTCGTTCTCTTCGCTCTTTCTATTTTGATCTAGATTTCAACATATTACAAATTCATCGAAATTAGAGGAGAACATTTTGTGTGTTTCTTTGTCAGTTCTATACTTAAAATGTGTTTCATACGTGTCTATTTACATGACACAAAATATGTAAACATTAGATCATATAATTTCGAAAGAGGAGCTATATTACTCTGTAGTCCTAGTCAGTCAACCATTCGTATCAAATAATTAACATCCGTCTACAGAATATTACGGATCAGTTTCAGTATCTACCGATACCGCTTTCTAAGTAAAAAGCACTTGTTGTCCGAAGTTTATTCTGCAGCAACTCTAATATCAGCTCACGTCGGTACATATTTTGAAGAAAGATCGCAACACTACCGTCTTTAAGTCGAAGCCACATTTTATGCAATAAAATTACACTTGCAGGTAAAAAATTATGTTAGGCGTTTTGCTTGTATCTTTTCTCAACTTTCGCGATGAAAACCGTAGAAAATCGCTTAAAAACTAATGAAATAAATGTAAGTAGAATCATATCTGCATACATATGTAGCTTTAATATTTCATTTAAGGTAGTTAATCTGTAGAGTGCCGGATTTTCAATAACGATATGAAGGAAGTTCTTCATAAGTTTATTATTTATTGAAAAAAAAATTTTCACTAACTTTCTTTAACTTTTTAAGTAATAAATGTAGATTTTTTAAACGCATAAAATTAAGATAAATATGATATTATAAATACGCAAATATTATTTATTTTTTATAAAAGATTCCTAAGAAAGTAGTTTGACGGATCAATTACCTTAAAATCGTTCTGAATGACCCCGTTATGCGTTCGTTTGTTTTTATCGTTCTATAAATATTTTCTAATATCTGTTATGTTTATCAGCATGTTGATCAAACTGTTGGAAATATTCTTATGCGCAATATCAATCTCAATGGTGATGGATTACAAATATTCTTTTGATAAGAGGAAGAGAAACATGAAAATGATTATTGACAACATAACAAGTTTTTATCATTGGAAAGAGCAGTTAGATAAGACGATGATTGTTAGTATTGACAATGTCGTTATGTACAACGATGAATATTACAATATCTCGGCCACAGACTTTCTTAAATCCCATCATGATGATATCGCCGATGAAAAATTCAAAGAAGCATTAAAACTAGGGAAACCCCAAAAATTTGTTTCTATTTTAAACAATTCGAGGATAATAAACCTTAAAGAGATAAAACTTATGATGAAGAGACTATTAATGATGAACGATTCTATGTTAAAAGAGACAACAAACATTGCAGACATTACAAACATAAAACAGGAATGGCATCACTATATCCTAAAAGAATTTATGGAAATAACTATCTTGATATTAACTATAATTTTGTATATATTAGGTAATATAATTAAATTAAATTATATACTGTCGAATAAAATTACATTATTGCATGCTATAATTGTAATGCATATTATAATTGTAATATTATTCAGGCCAGTTTGCCATAATGAAAATACCTATTTTTTTATTTTAATGTTACTTCATTATTTACATTGTCATAACAGGAATTGTCTTGGGAATTTTCTTTGGTTACTTTATAAGATTGCGACTAAATCAATTTTGATTAACAATTAAAAAATGGGAGAAATGAAAAGGGTAGGCCTGCATTGTTCTGAAAAATATTACACCGAAATTTAAAATTAGAACAATTTTCTGAAAAGTCGTAATACTGAAATCTGAATACTAAAAAGTTCTTTCAAAATATAATTTTACTAAAATATTGGAACTATTTTGTTATAGCATAACTGAGGGCATTAACATCTAATTATTTGAATACGATAATCAAATAAGCAAATATCAATTATGTAAAGCGTGTATACTATATATATTACACACACATATATATATATATA